CTCTGAGCGGGGTCCCCAGGGCTCCCACGCCCGCCGGGCCCAGGTGCTGCTGCACTCTCAGCTGCCTATGACTGTCAGGGTGCAGAGTGCTGGGCTGCTGCGGGGTCGGAGGCAGGTCCTCAGACCTCAAACAGACTGTCTGTTGACTGACTGAATAATGCCCCAAGACCAGCTCCCCGCCACCACCACTCCCCACCAACTCCAACCTCTGCTGCAGGGGTTCCAAGGGCTGTGTAACCTGAGCAAGGAGCTAGCCTTCTCTGGGTGTCAGGCTCTGTGACTGTAAAAGGGAGAGAGGAAAAGCCTTAGGGGATGGGAAAGGCAGGATGAGTCAGGACAACAGAGCCTGACTGTGAGATCTCACGCTATCCGTGCATTGCAGCGTGTTTAGCGGTATCCCTGGCCTCTGTCTTACTAGATGCCAGTAACACCCACCGAGTCATGACCACAAATGTCTCCAGATGGTATTGAATATTCCTAGTGGGGATGGGGGAGGCAAAATTGGCTCTAGTGAAGAAGCACTTCCTTGGGACTTCCTGGTGGTCCAGCGGTTAAGAATCCACCTGCCAATTCAGGAGACACATGTTCAATCCCTGGTCCAGGAAAATCCCACATGCCGTGGAGCAACGAAGCCCATGGGCCACAGCTACTAAGCCCGTGTGCCGTACCTGCTGAAGCCCCCAGGCCCTACAGCCATGCTCCACGACCAGCGATGCCTCCACGGCAAGAAACCCCATAAGCCCAACACCACAACTAGAGAGTAGCCCCCAACTGGCACAAGCAGAGAACGCCTGAGAACAGCAGTGAAGATCTAGTGCAGCCAAATAGAGAAATGAATAAATTTTTTAAAAATAGTGTTAAAAAAAAAGCAGCACTTCCTTGACCCTATGTTCGGGGTCGGGTGGGGAGCAGCCAGCATGGAAAAGGCTGGTTGTTGCAGCTCCTTAGGACACTCTCCAGGAGCCACGAGACCACCCTGAGCTAGTGATAAGAATAAAGACTTTAACATTATGCATATACAGCGCCTCCAGCATGCCAGGCACTCGAGAGCGATTCAGTCGCCTAATCCTGACTAGAACACTGTGTGGAGAATTCGTGGGTTTGGGACATAAGGAGGGACAGAGAAGAAGGAACTAGCCGAAGGTCGCACGGCACATGCACAGTACCGGTGGCAGAGTCGGGCCCTGAATCGGCCTCCCTGCTCCAGAGTGCACACAAACCACCGTCCGCCTGGGCCCCCTGCCTGCCCAGCATCCCTGCCCGGGCCCCCTGGCAAGGCTGCAGGCCAGGCGGCGGCAGGAAAAAGCACGGGCAGGAGAAGAGCCCCCGCGGGTGACACCCAAGGACTCACTGTCACAGGACGCAGGCCCTAATCTCTCAGCAAAGCTTTATTAAGCACCTACGGTGTACTGGCTGCCCTGGCTGAGACAACAGTAAGTTCAGGGGCTTTCCTGCTGGTCCAGTGGTTAAGAATCCGCCCTGCAATGCAGCAGACCCAGGTTCAATCCCTGGTCTGGGAACTAAGACCCCCACATGCTGAGCGGTAACTAAGCCCTCACACTGCCACTACTGAGCCCGCTTGCTCTAGAGCCCGAGAGCCATAACTAGAGTCTGTGCGCGGCAATGAAAGATCCCACATAAAGCAACGCAATCTCGAGGGCCAGCTGCAACTAACACCTGAGGCAGCCAAGTAAATAAACAAATATTAAAAAACAAAAAAGAAGGAACAAAGCTCATCTTGAGCTGCTCGCCACACGAACCCCTGTTCCTTCCTGCCAAGAACCTTCCCTGCCTGGGACAGCTTTCCCAACCTCTCACCCAACAGTCAGGAGCCAAAGAGCCAAGCACATACTGGGCGCCAAAATTTGCTTCTGCATTTAAAAGATGGGCGAACTGAGGTTCAGAGAGGCCAGGCAATTTGCCCGGACACACAGCAGTTGAGCAGGATTCAAGCTGTTTACTCCTTCACCTCTGTCTCCCCTTTAACCTGAGCTCCCTACCAATGGTTGGAGCCTACCCTGGGCCCCCTCACAGAAACCATCTGGCATCTGGATGGTCCAGTTTACAGCCCTGTTGATGCTCCCTCATATTCCTGAGCCTGGGGCACAGAACACATGTTTGCTTTCTCTGGACACGTCTCTGCTTCCTGGAACTAAGGTTGTCTCACTGATGGGGCCCCGCAGGCGGCTAGGGACGGAACCAGCGTCTGTGGGGCCCCTGGATACACACGTCCACAGCCACTCAGCTGGCGCTCTGGAGAGAGACCTCTTTGCCTCAGGATGGTCACAGGCCACGTCTGCTTCCTCCTCCCATGGGACACCACCCACGAGCGCCCCACAGCCCTCCTGGTACCCCAGTTCCTCCTGACTCTCTCCTCCTCCTTTCTCAACCAGACCCAGGCCACCCCTAGAGCTGGTGGCTATGTGCTGCTTAATCCAGAACGACTTACCTGGGGACGTGCCGATGGACGCCAAGGCCCGGGCCACCTACAAGGCCTCAGGTCCCAAAGCCACCAGACAACTGGTTCTAGATGAAGAACTGGGGTCCGAGAAGCCACTTTGGGCTTCTCCGCAGCCCGAACCCCCAGCCCGGGCCCCCACCAGCTAACCACCCCCTCATACACCCCAGCCAGGTGTAAAGAGGTCATATCCCACTAGGGTTTCTCACTCAGGTTGGGGGGTGGGGGCAGAACCTGAGTCCCCCTCTGCCAGCTGCCCTGGGAGACCCTGCATTCCACGGCCATGCTGGACGCAGAAGGCCAGAGGACAGCCACTCACCGAGATGCCCCAGGAGGTCAGTCAGCACGCCCGAGTGGGGCAGGGACGGGCCCGGAAGGCCTGGTGTGCTCCTGGAAGCGCCTTTCTGTGAAACTCGGCCTATTTCCTTGATGCGCAGATAGGAAATGGGGCCGTGTTTGAAGTTTACGTCAAAGTCACAAAGTGCTGTGTTCAAGGAAAATCGCGAGGCCACATGCTCCGGGGAGGGCAGAGGGCACCTCCCGGGCCAAGCAGAGCCCACCCAGCAGTGGGAGGAATGGGGCGAGCCACAGGCGGGCTCACACTAGTAGGGTGCTTCCAACAGCAGCCCCCAAACCTGGGGAGGGGAGAGGAGGGAGGCTGCGTGCTGGAGAAGCAGTGGGGTAGTGGCAATGGGAGGGGGATCCCCCGGACTCGCAAGAAACTAGAAAGCCCTTACTTTCCCTCCCAAGGGGGTGTGGACCTGGGGCCTGACCGTGGCTGAACTGCTCATGTGAGTTATTTATTCCACAAGCAGGTAAAAGCTGGAGAGCAGAAACCTAAGAAGGCGGTCCGGACTGCAAGGGCTGAGTACTTCCTGTGTGCCAGCCATCAGGCCAGTGACGACGGCCCTGTCCCTGCCCTTGGATGGCTCACAGGCTCAGCGAGGGGGCAGCGGAGTCACCGGGAGGCCAGAGCTGGGATGGCAGAAACCCAGACACTGGGTGTACGCCGTGGAGCCCGATGCAGCCCCGTGCTGGGGACAGACTCTAAGAGGGATCGCTCGTGTTGTCAAGTCTGGGAGATAGTGTGTCCCCCCAGCGTCCCCAGTATCCCAGCCCGCCCCACGCCCTGCACCTGGCCGCTGCTCACAGCCTCTTCTCATCCTTTCTTCCCACGTTCACCTGCCCTCTGACCACGTGACCACGCTCACATCTGCTCCCTCGGCCCACAGAGCTGTCGGGCGGCAGGGCCGAGTCCGTCCCGGTATCCATGCTGCCCCATCGGCCCTTGGTGCCCTGAGACCTCAGGGGCTTGCTCACCCATACCTCCTTGCCTTCTTGGACGGTGGGGACCTCTTCAGTGGCCCATCACCGTGGGGCCTCAGGGACCTATGTGGGGCTGTCCTAGGCCACTGTTGAGACCCCAGGAACCCTTCTTCTCTTGTGCCTGAGCCCTGCCAGAGTGGGGCTGGGCTCAGCTCCCCAACAGGCCTGGCGCTTCCTCCATGCTTTACCCCCATCTCCTTTCCTGGGGCCCTCTCCACAATCTCTACTGCCTCCCAGTTCCCTAAACCCCGCTCTCCCCACTCAGGAAATCTTTTCTCTGAGCTCCAGCTTCCCCTACATATGTGTGTGTGCTCAGTACTCAGTTGTGTCAGACTCTTTGTAACCCCATGGACTGCACCTGCCAGATCCTGTCCATGGGATTCTCCAGGCAAGAATACAGCTCTGGGTTGCCATTTCCTCCTCCAGGGGATCTGCACAACTCAGGGATCAAACCCATGTCTCTTGCATCTTCTGCCGTCACAGGTGGATTCTTTACCACTGAGCCACCTGGGAAGCAACCCCACCCACAGATTTCCCCTAAAACTGTTTTTGTTAGAAGCCTCCCCTTTCCCCAGGGACATGGAGAAATTCAGGATGCAGAAAGACATCTTTGTTTCCATCCTGCATGCTCTTTTCCCAGGGTAATGAGGAAAGAACATCCCGGAGAAATGGAGAGGAGAGAAATCACAGCATCAGAGCCACATGATTTATAATAATAGTAACTCTTACTGAGCACTTACTATGTGCCACACCACTGAATGAATCCATTTTCCAGGTAAGGTAAGTGAAATTCAGAGAGGTTAAACCACCAACTCCAAGTGGCCAGACATGATAGGGCAGGGCGATCTGGCCCCATAGCCTAGGTGATGGTGCATAGAGGAGGAGGGAAGCTTGGCTGTAAAGCAGCTCCTGTGGGCTCCCCCCCCCCCCCCCCGAGAGCTGGAAGGTGTGCAGCCTGTCTGTGGGGCACCCGAGTGAAGGCAGCATTTGGGACTTCCAGATTCCAGGGTCTTCAGGCCTGAGAAAGGGGCTCCCAGCCTCAGAAAGGTGCTGGCTTAGCCATCTGCTCACCCCCTTCCGTCCCAGAGACCACGTCCTGAGGGGCCCAGGCCAGCTGGATGCTCAGACAGTTCTGAGATGGGCCTGCAGATAAGACCATGTGTTTTGCCAAAGTGGAGGGCGGTGGATGAGTCTTTTGAATGNCTGCTCACCCCCTTCCGTCCCAGAGACCACGTCCTGAGGGGCCCAGGCCAGCTGGATGCTCAGACAGTTCTGAGATGGGCCTGCAGATAAGACCATGTGTTTTGCCAAAGTGGAGGGCGGTGGATGAGTCTTTTGAATGTGCAGAGGAAAGAGTGAACGGATGGAAATGTGGGCTGGGAAAGTTGCGGTGAGTTTGCCCTGCGTGGGTTTGGGTAAACATGCAGTTGAGACACGTGAAGAGCTCGGAAGAAACTGATCACTCACTTTCACACTCCCTGGGGGCTTTGGCCAGCCGTGTCCCAGCCTGAACTCTCTTTCCTGACCTCTTCTCCCATACCTGACTCCTCCTCCTCCACGTCTCTGATTAAATGCAGCTTCCTCCAGGAAGCCTTCCCCTCCTCAGACTGAGTGTTATGAGACTGGGCTGGTTTCACCTGCCCTGAGCCAGCCAAATTTAGCCTCACAGCTAAAAGGACACCAAGCCGCTGCGGGGGTGGAGGGGACATCCGGCAGGTAGGCCGTGGGTCAGAGGCTTCAGGCTGCCAGAGAAGGCTCAGATCTCAGCACAGGGGTCCTCCCAGGGCCCCTCCTGAACTCCCTCCCTCCTGGGTGTCGTCAGCCATGCAGCACCTTCCTTTTCTCTGGGTGGTCAGACAACGTGATTTTTACCTACGTGCTCATGTCTGATTCTTCCACTTACAGCTGAGGGACCTTGGGCAAGCTCTTTGACCTCCTGGTGCCTTCGTTTCCTCACTCAGGAATAGGGATGATAATGGTACCCACCTCACGAGCACTAGAGCAATGCTCCATCATCACCTGCATCTCTGTGGTGTGCTAGTGACTGCACGTCCAAGGGCAGGGACGGGATTTCCTCACACCCTCCAGGGACTCTTGAGTATAGCATCCTTCCAAGAGAAATTTAGGATTATAAGGGTGAAAGTGACACACCCCTCAATAAAATCAGTTCAGTCTGGCTTAAGTCAGAAAGTCGCTCAGCTGTGTCCAACTCTTCATGATCCCACAGACTGCAGCCCACCAGGGTCCTCTGTCCTGGCTCCTCTGTCTTTGCCATGCCCTTCTCCAGGGGATCTTCCTGATCCAGGGATCGAACCCAGGTCTCCAGCATTGCAGGCAGATTCTTTACCATTTGAACTACCCAGGAATAGAAGTGAATGAATTTGCTTCAGTAGCCATGTGCTGCTCCCGCCTCTGAGGGTCAGCAAATAGATGGCTCCTTCTTATTAAACATCCAAACCACAATGACAATGTCATCTCTTTAGATCGGTCTTTGGGGGCTCCCTATTTATTCAACACTGAGCACCCACCCTCTGGCACACTCTGTTCGAGGCACCATGGAGCTGCTGTGAACAACCCAGACAGAAATCCCCGCCCTTGGAAGGACAGTCAGGGAGTTTGGGAAGGACATGTGCACACTGCTGTATTTAAAACGAGGGGCCAACAAGGACCTACCGTATAGCACAGGGAACTCTGCTCAATGTTGCCTGGCAGCCTGGGTGGGCGGGGATTTGGAGGAGAGTACATGTGTATGTATGGCTGAGTACCTGAAACTGTCACAACACTGTTAGCTGGTTATAACCAATACAAAATAAAGCTTTTAAACATAAAATAAATTTAAAAATTAAAAAAAAAGAAAACCCCTTCCCTCATGAGGCCGACATTCTAGTGGAGGAGATAGAGAAGTAACAAAATAATCCAGTATTCTAGAGAATAAAATAATCAGAAAAGGGTAGAAAAGGTGCACAAGTGTGTGATTGTGAACAGAGAGGCTAGGGCAGGCCTCACCGAGGGGTAACCTCTGAGTCGAGACTTGAAGAAGGAGGTGCAGGAGGGAGCCATGGAGATATTAGGGGAAGAGCATTCCAGGCAAGCACAAAGGCCCTGGGCCCTGGGCACTGGACCTCTGTGAGGTGAAGACTGTCTTGTTCCTGGTTCCATCCCCAGCAACTGGGATGGCAGCTGGCACATAGCAGAGTTAAACAAATACAGCACGCTGGATGAAAAGCCTGGTGTGGACCTCAGGAACAGCCTGCTCGAGGCTCATGTGATGCTCTCAGGGTTATCACCCCCTCTACCCATTGGCTCTGCTCTCAGACAACTTTCTCTCTGTGCTCCAAGGTAGAAACCCAGCCTCAAACCCCACTCAGGAGCAAACATCTGTTTCTCAGTATTCCCAGGAAAAGCCCCTTTTCAGCAAAAGCTCAACGGCTGAGTGCATCACATGTTCCTCCCTGAGTCAGCCCCTGAAACCACTGGATTGAATGAGAACTGGTCACAAAGCCCATCCACACCTCACTGAGGTGAGGAGAAGAACCCAAAGGGAAGTTGGAGGCTATGACTGGAAGGATGCTAGACAGGTGAAGAGTCAAACTTTCGCAGAATAATCATAACAGCTCACGCTCTGAAGCCCACGAGCCACAACTACTGAAGCCTATGACCTAGAGCCCGTGCTCCACAAGAGAAGCTACTGCAGACAGAAGCCCGCGCACACCACGGAAAGCAGCCCCCACGAGAGACAAGCACTCTTGCTGCAATGAAGACCCAACGCAGTCAAAAACAAACACAAATTTAAAAGTTCTAACAGCTAAGATTTATTTCTTTATATTGAACACAGCTGTGTGTTGACCCAGCTAAAGTACAGTTAATGTTCACAACAGCCCCACAGAGCAGGTTAGCCCCATTTTACAGATAGAAAAACTGAGGCCAAGAGGAAACTGAAGCTTGAGATCTCACAGCTAGTAAAGTGGCAGAGCCTGAGGTCTCCTGGCTCAAAGGGAACCCAGAGCCTCTCCAAGGCTCTGCTCTGAAATCCCCGGTGCTGTCTGCTGACACCCCCTCATCATGCCAGGGCCAGGCTGGCTGGACCAACCACTGAGCTGGAGCTGGGAGCCCTAAGCAAACAGAACACAAAGGGAGCAGGCTCCCTGCACAGAAAGAGGGAGAGAGACGGCACAAGGCAGGCTCCAGCGGGCCCGCGGGCATGGGGAGGCCGCGGGTGAAGGCCAGAGGCACGTGACCCCAACTTATTTCTCAAACGGAAGTGCAGATAGGGAGAGGAGGCCAGCGGGAGGGTGGGCTGCCTCTCCAGGCTGGGGTCCCGAGAGGTCAGGATGAGGGTGGGATGAGGGCGGGCGTGCAACCTGTCGGGAGCTCAGGAAGAATCTGGTATTTATGGGGTGCCTGCTGTATACCCAAGCCTGATAGCCACATCTCCTTCCAAGCTCAGGAGGGCACTGGCAGCCTGCTATCAGGAAGCCAATCCACCTGCTCTCCCCACATCCCCAGCACCCAGCCTCACAGCAACTGGTGCAGGGAGGGAGGCAATAAACATGTGCTGCTGAATGAGCTACCCAACAACCCCGCGAAGGAGACAAATTCCTACTCCACTGCCAAGACGAGGAAACTGAGGCTCGGAGGTCAGAGCAGGGCCAGTATGGAGGTCCAGCTGGGCCCCGCTTCCCAGGACAGCATGCATGGGAAGTGCTGCAGCGGCGAGGTCTGCGGGCAGACGGACGTCAGGTGGAAGTGGCTGGCCAGGCACCCAGAGACCTGTGGGGTAACCAGGGCCCCGCTCTCACTAAACTTCAGCTCTTCCCCTCCCTGGCCTCAGTTTCCTTGTTTGTGAAAAGGGAACAATCACACCCACCCCGTGATGAAAGGGTTAACTCACTGACACAAAGACCAGGGCCAGGCCATCTCCAGCATGAGCTCTGGGAGGACGGGGGAGTTGGGGTGGGGGGGTATTTGCCGCCAGGGAACTGTGTCCGGCACAGGGGCTTCCCTGGTGGCTCGGTGGTAGAGAATCTGCCTGCCGATGCAGGAGACATGGGTTTGATCCCTGGTCTGGGAAGATCCCACATATCTTGGGGCAAGTAAGTTCCTGTGGCACAACTACTGAAGTCCACTCAGAGCACGGGAGCTGCAACAAAAGAGGAGCCCCCACTCACCACAACTGGAAAAAAGCCTGAGCAGCAATGAAGACCCAGCACAACCAGTCAGTTTTTTTAAGGAAAAAAAGGCCACAGTGGGTCTGGAGGCTTTAGGACAGTGGCCCCCCAACCTTTTTGGTACCAGGGACCGATGTTCATGGACTGGTTTATGGGGATGGTTTGAGGATGATTCGAGCACATCATGTTAACAGTGTGCTTTATTTCTAAGCTAAAGCTGCCACTGACCTGGCAGGCGGCCCTGGTCCATGTCTGGAGGCTGGGGACCCCTGCTCTAGAGCAAACACACTGCCTTACCCCTTCCAGCTTCTGGTGGCTGGCAGCAGGCCTTGGCTTCCCCAACTGTGACCACATCACTCCAGTCTCTGCCTCTGTCTTCTCAGCGAGTCTGTCGTTCCTCTTCTGTCTCTCATGACACTTGTCCTTGGATTTAGGACCCACCCAGGCAAACCAGACTATCTCATTTTAAGATCCTTAATTACAAATATAAAAAGGAACGTATATTCATGTATAACTGAGTCACTATGCTATACAGCAAAAATTAATACAACATTGTAAATCAATTATAGTTCAATAAAAAATAAATTAGTAAGGCCCTTAACTTTAATTATATCTATAAAAACCCATTTCTCAAAGAAAGGAATACTATGGGGGTCTAGGCATTTGGATGTGGACATATCTTTTTAGGGATCACCATTCAAACATATTCAGGCTATATCCGAGCTAGAATTATGTTAACTTGAAAGGGAGACAGAGCAGCTGTTGAAATCTCACTTCATTTTGTTTGTTCACAAATGTTCAGCGGCTGCCAGTGGGGTTGGGGGCTGGGTGAGGGACAAACTCTGGAACAATTTATACTTAATTGTCATTCCATGCTTGCTGCTGACCCTAACTTGGTTGGTAACCACTGAGCTTCCTAATGAATTTCTCAAGAATTCTGAATCTATCCCCAAGTATTCACTGTGCCTTGGTTGCCCTAACACTGATGATGATGCTAAGATACCCAGAAAAAGAGAGGGGCTTTCAGGGGGGCAAGAACACCAAGCACAGACAGCTTGGCACATAGAGTGGGTATTGCACCATACTGAATTCAGTCTTTCTCTTATCTTCTGAAGAAACATCTCTGTCCCTAAAAGCAAAGGGGGAAATGATTTACTATCCATAAGCTGGTTAATAGATGTAAAGTGCTGGGCCTAGTGTCCGATCCACAGAGATGTGGTCATTATTACTCATTTTAGGCAACGTTGACTTTTATGTTGACTCTGACACTTGCCTGTCACAGCTTTGCAGTGTAAAAAAGGCAAACCTTAGGCTGTCCGTTGTGTAGAAGAGAAAAGGCCCACAGAGGGGAGATGAGTTGAGGTCTCCTAGAGTGGCCAAGGTTTATCTAGTTACATCACAGTGCCTCTCTGCGGAGAGGGGGCCTAAGGCAGAGCTGGGATAAGTCAGGTCTTGAATGAGGTGCCAAAAGTGGGATCTGAGGCCAGGTTAACATTTTTAGAAATGCTTGGGGGGACACCAGCCAAGTGAAGTCAGAAAAACAGACTGAGATTTTAGCCAAGAAATGCCTTGCGTGAGGGGGCAGAAATCAGGGACTCTGTGGAACAGGGGTGAAGGAGCAGACCTGAAGAAAACCCAGCAAACCCACCATGAGCCGGTGTCCATCAGGGACTGTCTTCAGAAGGGTCCCCTCTTACAGTCACTGGCCAGACTCCAAGTTCTCAAGGCTTGGGTGGATCAGATTCAAAGGGAGGATTACAGGTGTGGTGCTTCCTTTTAACCTTTTTGTAAAGAGGACAGAGGATCCCAGTTACCAAAGGGAAGTCCTGTGGAACTGGACTGAGATGTAGGTTAGAGAGTCTAAAGAGCTCTCCCATAGCTGAAGTCAGTGGAGTTTATCCAGAGATATTAACCCGGACCGAAAGGGTCACAATGACTGCTTGAGCTGGTCCATCCTCCAGGCCAAGGCCTGGGCAGCCTCAGTAGGATTCAGACAGAAGAAACTGGGCTGATATTTCACTGGAGAGACACAGGTGTCAAGAGTGTCCCACTCATACCCAACCTGGCCTTGACCCTCCCCATTCCCCATGGCTAAAAGCTTTGGGGGCTTCCCCAGTTTTGGAGGGCAAACGAGGAAAACCACAGAGCTGAGAAAACCATCTACCAGGCCTGCTTTTTCAGAACCACCTCTGTTCCCCTGGGGCTGTTTCACCCACTCTACCTCCCCCCCCAAAAAAGGAGATCAGAATCCTTCCTATTCATTCCTCCTCAGCAGGTCCCAAGGGTCCTTCTGGAGACTCAGGAGATGACAGGGGCTGGGCTACTCAGTGGTTACAGCACAATCTCTGGATCTAGATTAGAGGCCAGGATACCCCCTTAGCTATATGACCTCTAGATAGTGAATTTATCTGTCTGGGTTTTTCTTTTCTCTAAATAAGATGAGACTATCATGCTTAAAAGATAAATAAGATTGACAAACCTCTGTCCAGCTTACCAAGAAGAAAAGAGAAAACTCAAATAAACAAAATAAGAAACAAAAAAGGAGACAGCTGATATTTCAGAAATATAAAAAACCCTAAGAGAATACTGTGAACAATTATATGCCAAAAATTCAACAACCTAGAAGAAATGGACCAGGACAAGTTTCTAGAAGCATATAGCCCACCAAAATCAAAAAGAAACTGATAATTTGAACAGACTGATCGCCAGAAGTGAAACAGAATCTCTAATTAGGGAACTCCCTGGTGGTCCAGCGGTTAGGACTTGGCACTTTCACTGCTGTGAACTGGGCTCAGTCTCTGACCAGGAAACTTATATCCTGCAAACCATGCACTGTGGAGAAAAAAAAAGAATCTGTAATTTTAAAACCTCCTACAGACAGAAGTCCAGGACCAGATGGTTTCATAGGGAAATTCTACCAAACATACAAAGATGAACTTATACTGATCCTTCTCAAACTGTTCCCAGAAAAACGAAGAGGGGGAAACATTCTCCAAAGACATCGTATGAAGCCACCATAACACTGATACCAAAATCAGAGAAAGACACCACCAAAAAAAAAAAAAAATTATAGGCCACTAAATTTGATGAATATAGATGCAAAAATCTGCAACAAAATATTAGCAAATACTGAATCCAACAGCACATAAAAAAGATCATACACCATGACCAAATGTGATCTATCCCAAGTTCACAAGGTTGGTTCAACATATGTGAGTAAATGTGATATACCACATAAACAAAAGACAAAAACCACATGATCATTTCAATAGACGCAGAAAAAGCATTTGACAGAATTCAACATCCATTCATAAAAACTCTTACTAAAGTGAGTACAGAGGGAACATATATCAATATAATAAAAGCTATTTATGACAAACTCATGACCAATAAATACTGAATGGTGCACAGCTGAAAGCCCTCCCACTAAAATCTGCAATAAGACAAGGATGCCCCCACCTCTTCTATTCAACACAGTATTGGAAGTCCTTCCTAGCCACAGCAATCAGACAAGAAAAAGAAATAAAAAGTATTCAAATTGGAAACAAAAAGGTAAAATTGTCATTATATGCAGATGACATGATACTATATACAGAAAATCCTAAGCAAGCCACACAAAAACTAGTAAAACTGAACAACTAATTGAGCAAGGTAGCAGGATTTAAGATTAACATACAGAAATCAGTTGATTTCTTTACACCAACAATGAAATATCAGAAAGGGAATATTAAAAACATTTTAAAATCATACCCCAACAAATAAAATATTTAGGAATAAACCTGACCAAGGAGGTTAAAGACTTATACATTGAGAATAAAACATCAATAAAAGAAACTAAAGATGACTCAGCAAATTTGGAAAACTCAGCAGTGGCAACAGGACTGGAAAAGGTCAGTTTTCATTCTAATCCCAGAGAAAGGCAATGCCAAAGAGTGTTCAAATTACCGCACAATTGCACTCATCTCACATGCTAGTAAAGTAATGCTCAAAATTCTCCAAGCCAGGTTTCAGCAATACATGAACCATGAACTT